GTAGTAATTTGTAACAACAAAGAGTAATTGAAGTGCGTTTTGAATATTAAGTTTTTTTAGGAATCAATTACATGCATGAGTTATGTTGTTTGTTTTTTATAAGGACGTTTGTCCATGAATGATCAAGATATTATAATATATGTTATTTTTTTATAATTTTAGTAATTGACTAATTTGAGTTCTTTCATGTTATCAAATAAATGATTCAGATAAATATTATTATTATTATATTAATTGATGTAATTCATCCGGCCAACGGACGGGCCCAACTCTAGTCCTTAATAATGTAATGGATAATGGGGTTACGTAGCTGTCCTAGCTAGTCAATGTAAATTGAAACTTTGAGGGTCTCGAGAAGAATTCTCCACAATAGATGGATTCATAATCCTAAGTAGAGAATGAATGTCCTTATCATCGAGGCAAGCTCTCGAAACGACGATTCTTAACTTGATTGTATTGTGTTGATTTTAGATTACGAATGATGTTTTCTTATTTTTAGGCAATCGGGCTGAAAATTCAGGATGTACGGTCGTATTTTTCTCCTATAAGTGTTGATGTGTTGAATCATGCATGCATGTGTGTCATTTCTTAATATGCGCGGACGAAGATAATTTACGAACAAAAGATTGCAACTATTTCAAAATATTTATTTTGAAACGAAACATACAAGTTCGTGTCGAAAGTGTATGTCATCAACATATGACAATCTCTCAAAGATGAGGAGGAGGAGGAGGAGGAGGAGGAGGACAAAAGAACGAGTGAAACCTATTGACTCGACCTTTTTCATGTCATGTGATTGTCGTGCTTTCGCTGAGTGGTTAGACTCGAAATGTATTCGTTTTTATTTCTTCTCGAAATACTTGCGTACTACAACTCGTCTGTACTTTCTTTCTATGGTGTTGTTTAGCAATTCATGATCGTGTTGAAATATAATTTAATCAAAATTAGAATTATTCAAAGTCCTTATTAGTTATATTGTTTGTGAAGTACTACCTCACGAGTCATGAGTCATGACTCATGACCGATTTTCTTCCTACAGTCGTTAGTTTTTTTTTTTTTTTTGTTTTTTTGTTTTTTGGGTTTATGAACGGCATGATTTGTACAACGGTTGAAACGTCGTATTGATAGCTTAAAGCTGACATGATTCATGCCTAAATCGTAACCAAGTCAGAGAAAGCGTCGAGGAGGGAATTCGGCAACAGCCAACTGCTGCATTCCAGCCGCCGGTGTACTTACTACATATATACGTTTCTCCTCTACGTTGACTTGTAGGAGCTAAGCTAGTTAGTTAGGACTTAGATGTAGTGTAGGGACGGCCGACTGCCGGCCGTAGATTTATTGATGACCGGCCGGCCACCGGCGGAAGGCGAATTCATTAAGGGTGCGTTTGGATACAATGATTTGGATTTGGTATTTGTGATTTGGATTTCCAAATACCAAATCATGTGTTTGGATATTAATTACATTTGTTATTTGGATTTGTGTCAAATTTATGGGGTGATTTCCAAATACATGTTTAGTGTATTTTTTGTCAACTTCAAATACATTATAACAACTAGTGATTTGAAATACCTCCTAACAAAAGAATGGACGTATTTGTAAAATATGAAAAGTTCAGGTACTATTGTGTGAGGAAAAGCATATAAAGGTACCAAAATGTAATTTTACCATCAAAATTTCAGGACCTTTTTGTAAAATTTTAAAAGTTTAGGTACTAAATTGTAAGAAAAATAAGTTTGGGTATCAAACTGTAATTTACCAAAATTTGTAGTAAGTGACCAGAAAATTTAAAATTGAAATTTAAAATCATAAAATAAAAATACAAACAAATTACAAATGAGTATCCAAACAATGCATTTGAATTACATGTATTTCAAATGCTAATATTTCAAATACATCCATTTCAAATGTTAGTATTTCAAATACCTTACATTTAAAATAGGCTTATCCAAACCCACCAACAAATCTTTCGTTTTCTCAAAACAGATGACGTGCATTGGTAAACAAACTAGAAAGTTGGTCTGTTTTGATGAATAGAGATAGGTAGGTTAGGGTTGGGCCGGCGGCAGCTTAACTCACAATTCTCTGACTAGGTTTCGATGGGAGTTTAACAAGTGGCGACTTCTAACGCAACGTGACCAAAAAGTGATGATCCATGATTTTTATTTTATTCTATGGAACCGTTCTTTATCGATCATCCGGAGAATTAGACGACAAAAATTTTATTCGATTCGTTGAACTGATCTGTCAATCGCGAGATTCAGACAACGAATGTTGACGGTCCACACAAATATGGTAGTCCATCGTCTCGGGGATTCGAACATTTAATTAAGCTTTATTTGGTATATCCACTCGTTGAGATCGACCGACAGTCCATTATTGTATGCTCTGTATGAAAATTCACAATGATTTTTTTTTTTTTTTGAACTCCTTAATCTCTATTGTTGTTTCCGATGTAAAACATGAATTGTACTTCCAACATAACTATTAAATTTGTAAAAAGTGTGTTTTCCTCGGATCGATTGTTGTAGCAAACCAGAAAAGAAATCCGACAGACTACAATTGAAAACTCATGAGTTGTGACTTGTGATGACTCGACTCGACATGACTTGGGTAACTCAATTATCGGATGGGCCTTGGGCCGATTGAGCTTAGCTTCACCGTTGGAGAAGTGCTTGTTTCTCTTTTATTGCCTTGCTTTGACCAAAACCTTTTTTCATGGGCCCTTGGTAAGTAAGAATCGTGATCTTGGTACACTGGACGATAGCTCCATTGGGCCGAGTCACTTATAATCCATAACAAACGTGGGCTTGAAGTAGATTTTCTAGCTTGTCAGTGTTGGAGTAGGTTTCTTGCTGTCTCAAGATTTCAATATCAAACAAGGATATAAGAACCATCTAACTAGTATCAATATCATCAGAAACTCCTATAAATAACCATCTACCTTATTGGGTTTAATGGGTAGTGCACCTTCTTTTATCCCACACTAGTAAACCTGCACATCTTATGATGGTTGACTAAAACAAGCAATCGTTCTATTGGTTTGTCGTCTTTCCTTGGAAACGATCCACTTGTATATATCGTGATCTATTAGTAAAACAAAATTTATTGGTGGAGACATTGCGTATTGAAACCAGCTGACCTGCAAAGTGCAAACCAAGAGGTCGACCTCCATGTGTGAAGATATAGAGCTACAAATTCCAGTTAATGTCAGACATTCACAGTTGGAACTGAATTTACCTGTAGAAGGAGTCCATCGACAATTATAAAAACCGCATAAAATATTAACAATTTATTTGTAATACCGATCGGCCATATCTCAGTACTGGTGGACCGAATCTACAAATGTATTCGTTAACCTAGCAACATTAATTTGACTAGCAAAAATGTATGGAAAATGTTCTTCGATAGCAATACTATTACAATTAGGGGACTGCATACACGTGGTATTTTGTTTATTTCAAAGGTGTAATTGTGCCAAGTTGGCAAAAGAAAGATTGTGACTTGGGCGGCTATTGGTGATTGGTGTCCAAGGTGGCGCTTACCAATTTGTTTTTTGGACGGCTTGATTTTACGTGCATTCTATCCAACCTAGCCTGCTGGAGCTTCCTTTCAAGCTTTCCTAGTTCATACCATACAACACATCCCACATCAAACTATTATTTTAGGGTTTGTCGCTATAATGGAAACATGGAACGCGTAGTTTGATTTCTGCTCGTTGGGATTTATTTCGTGGATGTTTGGTATACCGAAATAGTATCATTTTCGAATTTTAACTTTAAAGGGAGTGGCAAAGAGGAAGTGACTTTGGGCATTCTCAACAGTCTCCTACAATGTGGTGGGAGGTTGTTTTGTTGTATTTGCATGAGTAGCTTCATATGGTTGATTGCAATAAGCCATTGCTTAGCCTCTTTACAACTAGTAATAACTCGATCGTTTTGGGTAAGGGAATACCACTATTAGAGTGACGGTTCCCTCATTCCTTCATTTGTAATCATTCTGAACTCCCATTTTACTTTTTTTTAATCGTTTAATCTCATATTTTGCTGTAGTTTCATTATATCTTTCTGACGAAGAACATACTTTTTTATGAAATGAAATTCACTACGGAACAAACCAAGGAACCAATTAATTATGGGATTCAACTACGAGCGGCTACTATACTATTGCTTAGCTAATGTAGGACTTTGAATTCTGAAATGTTGATAAATAATAATAATAAATACAGGACTTTCCATTTTCCAAGCCTTTCCTAAGTTGAAAGATTCAAAACTTCCAGACACAAAATAGAAATTGAATCTTAATTGGCAGGCCGCCCAAACCGAGGTGTGGCCCAGCCCAATCCCTATCCCGACTACCGGACCGGCACTGAGCCAACAAAACCCGAGTCCTTCCTGCGACTAAACGACACTCACAGAAAAAGACATTCCCCGACCCGACCCGATATGCCCGCATACATCACCCGATTTCGGAACACTCCGCCCGCCCGGCCCAACCACACGAGCCCAGAAAACTCGGCTGCCATTTGTCAAAATGCCACGGAGAGATTCCTTAATTTGCAACGTATTTTGTACCTTGTTCAGTAACCAAAATGTGATTAATTATTTTTGTGGACATTCATATTTGGATTAACAATTTATAAAATTATCAATTTTGTTACCTCATCGCATCACATCCTTGTTTGAACTTTCTTTAATTTAATCATTTTTTCTCGTTGAAAAAAATACTATAATTCTAGAATTGGGTAAATCGAAATAAAAAAAATTTAAAACCTAATTAATTGTTGTGGTTAAGTAATGAAAAAAGTTGTAACGGGCTTAATGGGAAAAAGGAATGTACTTGTTGAATGTGGGGCAGGGCAGGCTGGGCAGCAAAGCAAACTCCAACCAAGAAAGGCTGTCATCAGCTGCCAGGTCAGCCCGCTGCCCGCCTCCTCCCAAATGCTTTTTTCAAATTTGAATGAAATTCCGACGCAATTTCATTTGCATTTCGGGAAAAACCTTTCCGTCTTCTTTCCCCTTCCTTTATAAACCTCTCATTCCCCCTTCATTTCCGAATCCTTCCTCTCTCATATCTCTTCGAGCTGCGCATCTGGAGAACGAGATCGCCTGAGAAACATCTGGAAGACTAACGCGAATCAGGCGGCCGACGTTTCCCCCGGAGCTCGCTTCTTCGATCCGCATCTACTCTCAAAGGTATGGATAGCTTCCTTTTGCTTCGTTTTTTCATTGCTCCGTTTGAATCTGTAGATCGGGCACTTTCGATCTGAGTTTTGGTGGGGTTTTTTTTTTTGAGCTCGATCTTGTGGTGTTGAGCTGATGTGTTTATCGATCGGGAAGTAGGTGCGTGTTTTGGAGGATAAGACAAGTAGACAGTGAAAATGATAGCTTTAGTTGCCAAATCTTGCTTCTGTTTGCTTTCGGAGCTCCGATCTCGTTTTGAACTTTGCTGATGACGATGGGTTGTGTGATTGCCTTTTGGAGTCTAATTATGCAAGCTTAGTGCTTGACTTGTGATTTGATGTAGTTTAGTTGAATTACTTGTGCTGACATTTGAGGGATGAAGAAGCTCTAGTTTCACATCCAGCTATTGGATTGAAGTTGTTGTAGCTTCTTATGGACTGTCATGTAATGTATATATGGCTGCTCAGATTCGCTAGCATCTGGGCTTTTGTTGAATGTGAGATCTGAAGTCAGTAGGTGGTTTGTTAGTATTATAATGTAGTAGTTTGCTTTCAATGCTTGATCTGGTATTCTCTTCCATGGATCTCTTCGTTTCCGGTTCAAATTTGGAGGCTTGTACTTCATCATTTGTGTTGTGGATTCGAAATGTAGATCAAAGTGTTTTACTTTGGGTTCTTTCGTTTGAGCTTATGATTTCATTTCTATTGCAGTACAGTAAAAGATGGCAGACGGTGAGGAAATTCAGCCCCTTGTCTGTGACAATGGAACCGGAATGGTGAAGGTTAGTTATTGGTTTCTTCCCCTCAAAACTGTGATGGTGTTTTTTGTTATTGTTGAGAGCCTGTTGATTAAATTTGTTTTCTAAATCATGCTTACTTGCAGGCTGGGTTTGCTGGTGATGATGCACCAAGGGCAGTCTTCCCCAGTATTGTTGGCAGACCTAGGCACACTGGAGTTATGGTTGGTATGGGTCAGAAGGATGCCTATGTTGGTGATGAGGCTCAATCTAAAAGAGGTATCTTGACGTTGAAGTACCCAATTGAGCACGGTATTGTCAGCAACTGGGATGACATGGAAAAGATTTGGCATCACACCTTCTACAATGAGCTTCGTGTTGCACCTGAGGAGCACCCAGTCCTTTTGACGGAGGCCCCTCTTAACCCAAAGGCCAACAGAGAGAAGATGACCCAGATCATGTTCGAGACATTCAATGTCCCCGCCATGTATGTTGCCATCCAGGCCGTCCTCTCCCTGTATGCCAGTGGTCGTACTACTGGTTAGTAACTGATAAGAGCTTAAGGACTTACCATCCTGTCGTTAATATGTTCTGTATGATAATTATAAGCAACTAATAATCAATTTTGGGTATTTTTGGCTGTTGAACAGGTATCGTGTTGGATTCTGGTGATGGTGTGAGTCACACCGTGCCAATCTACGAGGGTTATGCTCTGCCACATGCCATTCTCCGTTTGGATCTTGCCGGTCGTGATCTCACCGATTCGCTGATGAAGATCCTCACAGAGAGAGGTTACATGTTCACCACCACAGCCGAGCGGGAAATTGTCCGTGACATGAAGGAGAAGCTTGCCTATGTAGCCCTTGACTACGAGCAAGAACTCGAGACAGCAAAGAGCAGCTCGTCAGTCGAGAAGAACTACGAGCTTCCTGATGGCCAGGTCATCACCATCGGAGCTGAGAGGTTCCGTTGCCCAGAGGTTCTCTTCCAGCCATCCCTCATTGGAATGGAAGCTGCCGGTATCCATGAGACTACTTACAACTCCATCATGAAGTGTGACGTGGATATCAGGAAGGATCTCTACGGTAACATCGTGCTCAGTGGTGGGTCTACCATGTTCCCTGGTATCGCTGACCGTATGAGCAAAGAGATCACTGCTCTTGCTCCCAGCAGCATGAAGATCAAGGTTGTGGCACCCCCTGAGAGGAAATACAGTGTCTGGATTGGAGGGTCCATCCTCGCATCTCTCAGCACCTTCCAGCAGGTAAAACCTTCTCCTCACACTTTTACACATTATACTTTTCATACACTACCAGAATGGTGGGCATTTGACACAAGGCTGACATGTTCTGTTCCCTGATATGCAGATGTGGATCTCCAAGTCCGAGTACGATGAATCTGGCCCGTCCATTGTACACAGGAAGTGCTTCTAAGCTCCTGAAGAAGTGGGTTGATGAGTTATTTGTTACATTTGGCTTTTCCTTTTTTATCGAATGTCGGTGTGAACTCGAGTCAGGTTTCGTGTATTGCTTCGCAGCAGCTACTCCAGTGCGATTTTCGTTGCTCAAAACAGTCCTAAGTTTCTGAAGTGGTTGCTTGTTGTAGTCTTTCTTTCTCAAGTAGGGGTGTCGATAGGTTGTTGAGAGTGAGGTTTGTGATGAGTCGTTTTTTTCTTCCTGCTTTGAGTTATCTTCCTGCTTTGAGATATTTGAAGGGTTTTTTTGGTTCTTTTTTCCTGGTTACCCCTCTTGAGGGGAAGATCAATGTTAATAGTTCTTTGTACGAGGGAGAATTTTTATGATTAGTATCAGGTTGCGGTCATTAAACTGTATGGGACCATATTTATTACTTCTATTATTGGGATTGAGTTTTGCCATATTGATTTTCTGCTCTTATATGATAAATAGGCTAATCAATGTGAAATTCATGCCAAAACATAGCAGGGTTTATAAGGCTACCTCCAGTTTTTGCTCAATTTTACATGTTCTTATTAGTTTTCTTCGCAAATGTTTATCTGATATGTCGAAATTCGTATCGTAACTATTCAGGTTAATCAAAATTAGTATCGATCCGTGACATGCAACTGCGAATGAATCGACACACTTTAATCTCTAGTTAGCTTGATCTGCCACTCGATATGACGCAACTCAAACTAACATGAACTATCTTCACAAAGTTTTGTAGTGCTTCGTCCTATTGACCGAATTATTAATGACTCCGACTGGCTTTAACTAGCTACCTTTGATGGATAACGATCCAACCCACCATCTTCATCAACAATCCGACGCGACTTGCCCAAACTCAACCCAACCTGAAGCTGAAGCAGAGAGCATGATGCAACATAGGAGGAAAGAAAATAAAAGGCTTTGGATGATCCTTTCTGTGAACATCCTGAATGAGATCGCCACTAAAGGTACACACAAGCACAACAATCAAAGAAAGCAGCATTTGTGAATGATGGCTTCTCTCTAGGGACAACTCTCCTAACCAGAAAAGATTGGCAAAGAAGAAAAAAGGTACTAAGATGATAAAGCAATGAGCTGGGGAGGATTCTTCTGCCCCCACCAGCCACTGCCTTCACATCACCTTCATTTTCAGGCAATTGCCAAATGCTATCAACTTTGGAGGTGGTCTAGCTGGCTTTGCCACCACCAGAGCATCAACAGAAAAGGCCAAGAGGAGCATGAAGATTGACATCTGCAGCGTAAATGTTCCGAAGACAAAGGTTCACTGTACGGGAACCAACTTTCTGACAGAGCTATGAATTTTCAGAGCTTTGAAGTTCTAAAGAACTGCCATAAAAAGAAAACCAACTCGACCAATGATACATGAGCAGGAGTGAGGAAAGCCTCCAAACAAAGACCAGTACTTGAGCTCTGCAGACAAAATATGTAAACAAAAACAGACTGGAGACTGAATTGAACAAAGTGGAAACACAAAAATGAGAATGCTAATTTGGCCCCTCCCCTACAAAAGCTGTAGCCTGAACCTTGGCAATGAAAAGATTTTGCATTTTCCAATAGGGTTATGAAAGAAGAACCCGAGGAAGCACATAAGATAAACTATAAGATCAGTGAACATGCTCTTGCAACAATTGACATACCAAGCAGTGGGAACAAGCAAGAGAAACGAACATCAAAGAAGAACTCAGAACTAGTAGTGCAACAATATATTGATGAACCGTCCAATCGGAACTTCGACCCCTGCATACTTAAAAAAGACTGGCTAGAAGAGATTCATGCAACTTTCTACCCCTGCATACTTGAAAACTCTATTATAACAATCAATTGCTATGACCACAGTACCACGGAACACCAATTAGCATATTTCCTAGTTAGAACTATTGACACAATCTCACCCTACATAGATAGTGAGATCAAATGAACCCACCACAATTTGCTACTCGGTCGGAGTGGATTCAGAAATCTGAGGGGCCTTCTGCTCCTTCAAATGCATTTCCATCAAAAGCTTGACATTCTTCTCGCCACCCAACAACCTATCTCCCAACAGTTCAATCCCGACTCTATATCCTTCAAACTTGTCAACCCATTCCTCCTCAAATTCTTTAAGCTTCTTCTCAATTAACAAACGCGCCAACCTTTCTTCTTCCTCTTCCATCATTCTTTGCTTCTCCAGTTCGGCGGCAGTCAAAACAAGACCACCAGGGCCAGCATCCTTGTAGAGTGGTTCTTCATGCGATGGAAATTTTGCTCTGTATTCAGAAAATGCTCTATGCGTCTCCTTCAAAGCCCTTCTATACCCTTCCAAAAGATCGCCCATCATACACAATTCACGCTCGAGCTTATAAACTTCAGCCTGGCTCTTCTGTTGCTCCTCATACCTCATTTTGTGCAGGAGTTGGATTGTGTCATCACGTCGTTCCAACTCATTAATTAACATCTGCTGGTTCAAACTCTGCTCCTGATACAGCTGGTCTTTTTGCTTTTGGGCAACCCTCAGCTTTTCCAACCAATGCTGTATTTGTCCAATGCACATGCCAGTTTCCGAAGAATTCTTCCCCTCCCATGGCGCATCATCAGTCCTCATTCTCTTGTCAAACGCATGATGAGGGATATCGTCATCGTTGTTGCCATCATCAAGATGCCTAATGTCTCTCTTAAGATCATTCCCAGCACCATAATGCGAGGAATTGCCAGGGTTAGCCTCTATATCAATCCTAGATGCTGCAAGAAATTCCCCCGAAGAGAGGTCAGCATGAAGCTGCTGCATATCTGGGATGAGGGGAGCTTGTGCTAATTCCATAGATCCAAGAAGATTCTTAGAAGCTAAACTACCCAATGCATCATGCTCTTGGGGTGCACGGTAGAAATCCATTTCTTCAACCGACTCCTCATCATCGACCTCTTCCCCTTGCTCTGGTTCTTCCATTGCATCATCATCTACTTCCACTTCTAGCTTCCTCTCCACTTCACATTCCATGCCATCTTCAGCTTTCACAAGGCTATAATGCTGTAGAAAATTCTCATTCACACTGCCATTCAACCACTGGCCATGTTCTTCTTCAACTACCACTTTACTCTCCTCAAACACCATTGCCACCTGTTCTTGTTGTGGCACAACATTGTCCTTGCCACCATATTTATCTTTAGCTCCACCATCTTCCCCAGCAGTAGCATTATCCATACCTCCCAAGCTCAATTCAATGCTACCCTCTTCAGCCTTAGCCACCACCGCGACACGATCCACTTCCTCACTGGTTTTCACAACCACCTCCTCATCTTCATCTCCTTCTTCCTCCTCTTGTATCAACTCTTCCTTAAAATCAATCTCCTTCCGAGAAGAAGCTTCTTCTTCTTCCTTCAACATATTTTCTTTCTGGGATTTAATCAAACACTGTAAGTGCGAGGCATAGTAACAGTTACCTAGATTCGGAGCAGCAGACAACTCCTTCTCAACCATATACCAAATCAACCCAGCCCAATCCAATCTCTCAAAGTTGCCATCTTTAATCATTCTAGTCATATTGTGAATCTCCAACGGCATCAACCACGTATCGTCGTCGTGCAACAGCATCCAAGTCGAGACCAATTCGTCGACGAACGCAATCGCTTCTTCGTTCTCTTTCGCCTCCCCGGCGGAAGTCTCCGACGACGAAACCTTGTCCTTCTTGATCGGCAGCTTGAGCGCGCGAGCCAAATCGGGACGGCTGACCTTGACCCGAGCCTCGTTGACGTAGCTACCGCGCTGCTGCGCATCGTAACTGGCGATCAACTGCGCCACGAGATCAAAGCGAATGTCGGCGTCGAACCGGAGCTTGACGAAGTCCCACAGGCCAAGCCGCTTGAGAAGCTCCTCGTGAGAATCAAAGTCGAGATCTTTCGCGGGCTTGAATGGAATGGGTTTGAGGTTTTCGTTGAGAGCCTCGAGCTTCTTCTGAATCTTCTTCAACCTAGACGCAATTAGTCGCTTGCTCCTGTTGCGCTTCGAACCGCCGCCTCCGCCGACGAGGAGGCGGCGGGCAGAGGAGGCCGATGTGGGAGAGAACGAAATCATGGGCGCTGCGCTTGTTAGATCTTCTTGATTTGAATCGCTGTCTTGTGAGTCGGGGACATCATTCAGGGTCAGGGTTTCAGAGGACTGGGAAACATGCGGATTCTCGGCAGAATGTGGAGGTGGTGGGTTCTCCTCCGATTGCTGCATCGGGGGTTTCTCATCCGTCGTCGCCGCCGCCGTGTTTGCCATTGCTCTCAACAGTACAGTTTCTGAGGGGTTGCTTTCTCAAGTACGAAGATCAAGAGTGATAAATGGGTCGGGTCTTCCTTCCATTTCGGTTTGGCTAAAGGGGTTAAATATATCATCTTCTTTGGTTTAACCGGCTCACCCGAATTTGTATGTTGTTATAATTTGATTGTCTCGAATGATAAATGATTTAACAAACAATATAGTCCATTTCAAATTGGCAATGTACAAATTCTTAGTCCTATAATCTTGATGTAACCGGTTAAACCTTACTAAAACGTGGTAGGTGTTGCCATTTGGTAACTTGTAATGGAAAAACTGAAAGTCCTTTTTATGAAAGGAAAGTTGAGAAGCAAAACAAACGCTTTGGAGGTCCTTTTCTGCAGAACATCCAGGATGATTATCACTTATCAATAAGGGCCAAGGGCACAGACAGAGTCATCAAAGACTGCAGCTTTTGTGACTGATGGCTATTATTTCTAGCGACAGCTCTCCTAACCAAAAAAACTGGGGAGAAAAGGAACTGAAACCAAAAAGATGGTTGATCAAGCAGTGAGCTGGGGAGATTCTTCTGCACCCCCCACCTTCTCGTCACTTTCGTTCGCCTCAACGTAAAATGGGATTGGCTTGGTTGGCGCGGGCAATCGGCCAATGCTATCGACTTTGTGCTTCAATTTTGGAGGAGGTCTAGCTGGTCTGGGCAGAAGCCTACCCTTCTTCTCAAACCACTCTGGCTTCAGCAGTGCTCGCAGCCCCAGCTTGTTGTAGTGGACCCGTCGGACCGATCCTCCAGCTGCTTCGACGGCTGCCTTGGCTCTAACGGTCACCCTTGACACCTGCAAAAACAGGTTGGCGGCAGTGAAGTTCAGTTCCACACTGTAAGGCATCTATACCAATGAAGGTGAGAACTTAGAACCCAAGTACTCAAGGAATTAGGTCAGTGAATACATTATACAGTGACTATAACAGTTATAATGACAACCATTTTGATAGTTCTCGAATACATATCAAGCAACTATTACAGTCATCTCCATTTCTGTGAATCTTTTTGCCAAAATTTATAGATCATTGTGTCACCTCATCCAAGTTACAAATTAATAGGCCACTTAGACTCTCTAATGAGCTGTTAAAACATGTCAGCCAATTAAGGTCCACTATCATGATAGTTATTCCAAGCAGACTGCAGCAAGAACTTCTGAGCTTGGCAGCTAGTCAAGTTATCTAACCAGGGAATTCAGGATCAAATCTAAAAGAAGCAAGGCTAAGTACAAGTTCCATATGCACGTGAATTCCTTACAGTAAAATTCATCATGATGTTTGCAAGCAAATGCAACCTGTGATTAACCGTAAGCCTCGAGAGGTTTTACCGATTTAAACTATATACAGCAGTTCATCCTAAATGTACATACACAAACAAAAGAAAAACATCGTAATGAGATTTACCTCTATATGGATAGGCCATACAATGTGCTCACAGCCACGTCCCATGAGTCTTACTCCGTCTTCTATCTGCTTTCCTATGGCTCCAGTATCCTATTATAACAATTGCAAACCATCAACACAGATTCCAGCACATTTTATGCGTGTAGGCTAAAGTGGGAGTTAGGCAAACATTTGCAATTACCTTGAGTGTCTTCATTGTGATCAGTTCATGAGAATCTATCTTCCCAGCATTTATAAGCCTTGCAATCTTTCCCAGGCCACATGGCTGCAAAAGAAAATACATAGAAACCAAAAGATAAATAACTGAATTGGGAGAAAAGAGTAGAAATAATGTCACCAAACTACAAGTAAGAGTTATGAACTGGAGGCAGACATACAAATTTGATAACATCAAGTAAGAATTCTAGATCTTACAATTGGTGACAATTCAGTGATGCAAAGAAAGAACTTGGCCAATTTGTGAACAAACAATGGTAATGAACAGGAGACATAACCATTTTTCTCAACTAGCAAACTGAGGGGAAATGCAATCAAGCTTCCTCCAAAGGTACAAGGCACCAACAAGAGGGACATTGTATCTTCTGGAAAGTAGTGAGAATGAAAAAGGACTCTAGGACGGCAATAATTGGCAAAAGTTGGACAGCTCTGGAGTTGATATTTAGTATCTTTCAAGGCTTCATTCAAGGGTTACACTGATAGAGTGATAGTATACATAGTAACTACCACATCTGACACGCCTCTCTCTAATTTGACGGATGGAAATTCAGCTGCTAAGGTAACAACAGAGATGAAGGGGCAATTTGTGCTCGGATAAAATTTGAACAGAGTTGATAACACAGTAACAGGAATAACAAAACTTGAAGTCGATAACTTTATGCGACCACATTTTATTAATGCCAAAATCAAAACTTTATGCGACCACAATATAAACCCATCAATGGTTGAAACTTCACAGCCAAAACCAAACTCAATGTTGCTGATAAACCCTACCAACTGCAGCCTTTTATGCAACTCGCAGCATAACAGATGGCATATTCACAGACAAAACAAAACCCAATGGAGCTGATAACCCCTACAAATTGCAACCTTCCAAAATATTTCTCATTTTCCAATTGATGAAGCAGCCATATTTATCAATTGGGGCTAAAAATGTGAGCTTTTCAAGCCCTCTTTCCTTTGAAGAAGAAGCAAAAACATGCATTTGAAGTCAAGAGCAACCAGTAAACTTCTTAGTCCCACCCAACATTCTGTATCCTAGAACTTGCTGCTATTCAAGGACAAATGAAATTGGGCAGCTAGAGAAACAAACTGACCAATTAATCAAAGGAATACCTGGAAAGTGAGGCTAAAAGGGTTCTTAAACCCTCTCTTGGGGAGACGGCGGCGCATCGGCGTCTGCCCACCTTCGAATCCGAACTTGTGAGTCCCTCTAGCTTTCTGTCCTTTATGACCTCTCCCAGCAGTCTTGCCCTTCCCTGACCCAATCCCGCGCCCCTTTCTGGTCTTCTGCTTCCTGGGTATGTTCTCCCTTAAGTCGTTCAAGCTCAACAGGCTGTAATTTCGAAGGGAGCCCGGAAACCCAGATGCCACATTGGCGCCGTGGAAGGAGGGGAGTTGCAAAGATTGAAATGGCGGGAATGGGATTGGGGTCGAGGTGGGTTTCGCGTTGGCGAGAACTGATGTCGACGAGAGGAGAGAAGATAGCAGTCGTCGACTTCTGGTGATCATTGCTTGAATCGGCGACGGTCAGTGGCCGGAGTTTTTGGAGGGCGGAACGATGGGAGGGTTTACTGAGGTTTTGCAGTTTCGGGCGGGGGAATGGATCTCGGCAGCATCTCGTACTTGTTTCTTTTTCTTCCGCCACCGTGACCCGGGTAACTAGTTCGGGTTAGGACCGGGTTCTGCCGGTCCACCCTTTGTTTGCCAGCCATTTTAGTTGTGTTTTACTTGTTCGATTTGAAAATCTTTGAAAATATGGGTTCGGACAAAACTTGAATTCTGAAAAATCTTTGAATAAGTGTGACATGATGGTTGATCATCTCATAATACGTGATTGTGACATGATGATTGATTACCCTGTAAATCAATTGTGAAATCATGGTTCGATCTTAATTGATTGGAATAAACTAGTTCTTTGCACGATTTTGTATCGTTCAGTCACCCGCAATAATAGGTTAGTCACTGTTGTTGATAACGGATAAATGCATAAACCCAAAACTAACCTTACTAACATTTTTGGTCTCTAAACATCAATACAGTAGGAGCTCAGTCACATTAGCTTCCATTGATTCCATAGAATAACAAAAATGTCTATACAAATGAGTAAACATCAATGAGTTATGTGTCTATAGTCTGTATAACCTTCTGAAAAATTAGCCATGAACAGCATCCAACTTTGCTAAGCAAAAACTAAGTGTTACAAACAAATCTGTTCTTCAGATCTCTCCAAGACAAAGATATTACCCTTTTGATCCCTTCCTATCCTCATCTCATCATCAACATATCTGTTCCCATAAGATTAAGGTAAAAAAACCCTTTATGTCCACTGCATCACCAACACACAGAACAAGTAACAGTAAACCACTTTCTTTTCTAACTTTCAGTAAAGAAGTAAACTTTTTTTTATGTTTCTCATGGTGAGGAAAGTTAAGGATACGTGAGCTCGAGCCACCCCTCGGGGTTGAAGATGTTGAGAAGAAGGTCATAGTTCTTCTGGAACACATTCATCAGCTGGTCAGGTGTGATGGTTGATTCTCTGTATGTAATTGTAACTCTCTACCAACACAAAAAAAAAGAGAGGGTTATATCAGAATGTTGCCCTTCAGAGGAAGGAGAGGTGATGCAAAGAGAGTGGAAAACGGGGGATCATTTTCATAACTGATTTGGAATCAATGTTGAAGGAGGCTACAATTGCCAGCTGACCATTCAACAGGTTCAGTCCCTTCACATTGAACTTTATCACATTCACTGCTTTGCTCTACAATCACAGTTGAAACGAAACACACACAGAAAAAAAGAAATCAGCTCTTTCGACTTGGCACGTCGTTGAGCTAATCTGATATCACGTCAAGAACTAGTGTTTCAGAGTATCTACCTCGGCTACGTCTATGATTTGGAAGAGGTCACCCAAGGTGATGAAATCTCTCAACCCTAGCTTTGTTCTCTTTGCACCCATTATGCTGATTGTGCTGTATATAAGCTTCCAACATCCATCCACCTTTCCCGAAGATTCAAAATCCCCACAAATAGATAACCATTACCGAGCCGTTTTAACAAAAATGTGCTCGTTAGTCTATTGATATAAAATTCCATCTAACTTAGCTACAGTTAGAATAGAATAATGTTTAGTAAGTATGTTCTTCATGACTCTCATGCACTGCATATTTGAAAAATTGATGGTATTTGCTAAAACAGTATAGTATAGGGACTAAGAAAGCAATTGATCGATAGCATTTAGTATCTACCTTGTGAAGATTGAGAGTGGGATCTGGAGTTGGGTTCTGGGATTCTAGCTGCTGCACCAGCTCCTGAATCTCAGACTTCTTCCCAGATGTTGTCCCAAATACCCCTCTGTTAATCCCTTATTGGTAGGATTTCCACATTTACATATTTGAATCACTGAAGGACTGAAGATGGCAAAAAGAATGGAAGGTTAAGATGGAGATTACATACCCTGGAGTGCTTGAGAAAAATTCTCCTTGATTTGAGAAACTTCCAAAGAGGATGTAGATGATGAACTTTGTGTTGCAGTTTTTATAGGGTTTACCAATCTGAACTTTAGCAGCTCACCAAACTTGGCTTGGTGTTGCTGCCATGGCTGGTGAGTAAAAGCCATTAGAGATGGTGGCTGCACAAGCTTCACCAAAGTAGCCATCTCAAGCAACGAAGAAGAAGAAGAAGAAGAAGGAAGAGCTCCTTAAAGGAAGAACCCGCCAAATGCTTGTCTTTGCTTATTTGCTGATGAGTAGGTTGAGTTTGATACAATACTACCGTTGCTCTAAAATATTATATCAGCCTATGTGTCTTTTATATTTGCCACATGCCAGGAAATCCAAGATATAGATTCTGTCCTGAAATTTCACTTTATTTTCTCTTGCCAGAGGTTGTGGATAAAGGGAAATCAGAGGATTGGTGGTTGGGACACCTCTGTTCAGCATGTGGCTAACATTTATTTTCCCCTCCAAAGTAAATTTCACCACTTCCATCCAAAATTTCAGCTCAAGGATCTAAATTTCCGAAGGGTGAAAGGCATAGCCAAAGATTGTAACTCCCAACTTGAACTGGCCTTCTCTTGACAATTCATCCACAGAAACACACACTTATATGTGCAAGTACAAGGTTATGCAAAATCCTTATTCAAAGGGCAGCTGCCAAAAAGGTCACTATCCCAGTTAGAAACTGAGAGCAACAAAAGCTGAAATTACTCCACTGTAGTAATAAGAGTACATGATCATGTATTTCAAACTGTTCAGGCAGCTGCGGACGTGGGTTTCTCCGGCTCTTGCTGCTGTTTCCACTGTTCAGGGGTGGCGGCTTTCTTGATGGAGAGAGCATGAATCTCCTTCATCTCCTCTGCTAAGGCTGTGTTCACCAATCTATGCCTCTCGAGCAGCCTCTTCCCCTCGAATTGGTCGGTGACTATCTCAACTTCAAAGCTTGCACCACATCTGGAAGCAATCACAGAGAGTTTAGATTCAGAATGAAAAGCTGCAAGTTAAGTTAAAATAGAAGGAATGTGTCCGGATCATGACTTACCCTCCAGATGTATCCTTCACATCCTGAAGAGAAGAAAACAGAAAACAGAAAACAGTTGGTTTAGTTGATGAATGTCATTATTCTGCTTACAGAAAAAGAAGAAGAAGAAGAAAGGAGGCAATTTTTGGTTGATAATGTTTGTGCCTGCCATTACCAGAAGTCCCTATATAGCACCATGTTCATCTATCTTGATATAATCATGTTATTTCCATGTTAAACCAAGCAAGATACCACATTTACTTGACCTAGTGTGATAAACTCAAATAAAGTTTCTATGCTTAGGAAAGTCATTCCTCAGAGACAAACCCTTCATGGTCCTGCAGAACTTGCGAATATTATACCAACACCACCAGTTTTCCATGATATCAAACAAGGGGGAAAACGATGCAAACATATCGTGTATCCATATCATCGTGTTCAGGATAAACAGAGACTCGATACACCAAATAGAAACATTGTAATATCCCAACCCACTCTTAGTAATTAACCAGCAAAAGTTGGTAGAAGTTAGGGTTGAGAAGCGACTTTAAGGCAAATCGGGTATGTGAAAAGCGAAAGATCCATCCTTATGGGTCAAGAACGCGGGTACAAATGAATGAGGCATCGAGATCACCATTGACCTTCGTTGCTAGAAAGCTAAGAGCTTTAGTGAAGAGATGTACTTTCCCATTCGAATCACTCAATACAGCACTGGACACTTCAAGAGCTCTCATCAGTCTAATGATTCAACAGTCATTGCAGAACCACAGTTCTAAGTTCTAACTAACTACTGTACAGCCTTAACATTTATCAAAGAAACAAAATTTCATAGCTCCTATACAAGTCAGAGAGTCCTCCAAATTCCAATCCAAGCTAGAGCAGAAGCTAGATGGAAACAAGCGGACTACCCTACATCAACCCTTCTTCATGATGTTTCCAGGGAAACGACTGCATCAGAAAACATGAAACTACTGCTATAAAACAAACTGGACCGACTTGTCCAACAAAGGGCATTTCACAACGGACCTAAATTGACTCATAAACCGCAGTAGAGGACGGAAAGGGAAGGCAAAAGGAGAGGTGGCTTACGAGATGTAAAGGACTGAGCTTTGACTTCAAAGTCGCTTCAACTTGCTCCTTCGTCACGCCCATCTTCGCCGTTCGCCGCGCTCCTGTACTGGGTTTTTGCTGTTCTTCTTTCTTTCGTCGCTCCCCTTCGTTTCGCGTTTCTGCGTATAGGCTTTCTCATCCCTTCTCTCTCTGCGTATATATTCCCGGGAGAAAAATGTTTTCCTTTCCCGGTTCGAACAAATTCTCCAGGGTAAATGCTCAAAATGGTCACTGTATTATTAAAATATCCATTGAAGCACTCATTAAAGATTAAACTGGACATTTTAATCGGAACGAACTCTTTGCAGTCATTGCAATTTGCAAAGAAAGAGAAGCTCAGCTGTACTGCAAGTCGCAAGAGTGTTTCTCAAGGAAGAGAAGGAGCCCTTTTTCTCTGTGATCTCTCACAGAGATTGTTCTTTTTGATGCAAGGCGGCAGCAAGATTGCTGGAACTTCTGAGGATGGCTAAGTAGACTGGGGGAGTAGATGTTTTTTTTCTTCTGAGAACTAGCAGGCTTTCACAGGATGCCAAACAATTCTGAGTTCAGTTAGTAGAGATGATTAGCTTCAGACTGAAGATATCCCACCAAAAACAATATTTTCATGAAAGTACAGTGACATGAGATCAATAACATCAATCAAGGAAAGAGCAAGAACATCAAATAGAGGTGATTCGTTTCATTAGAGTTCAACTAAATGAGTTGCATCTAAAATCAGTGAGAGCAGTATATTCATAGACATTTGTGAAAGCATAGACCCAAAATTTGACATCAAAGTGATCTTTAACTTGATCGTCATCACATACGACCTGAGCAAGAGTAGGTGAATGATATTACGAAGCTGGGTGGGCAAGAATCCATAAAAGGTAAGAGCTTCGTCCTCAGTGTGAACTTCCAAATTGAAAGTCTCCGTGATGTTTAACTTGATAGTTGATACCACGAGCCATCTGAAAGTCATACATCAACGGCTTGGAAAGGGAAGAGACCAGAGAGCAGCCATACCCATCTCCACCCCCTAGCGAGCCACTGCTTGCTGCCGCTGTGCAGCACAAGTCGAGAAATCGTCAAGCAGATCATCAACATTGCACATAACATCAAGAGAGCCACTCGAGCCAGAGTTTGACTTGGTTGTTGTGGACTGCTTCTCCTCTGCGTCGAGAAGCACTGCCTTGATGGGGTTGATGTCCTCTAGTTTCAGGATCTCAGGCTTGAAATTCCACAGGAGCTGGTTGAATCCAAAGCTGGCCAACTAGCCAAGGACTTTTGTTCACGATGGTTTCAGGCGTTTCGTTAGGAGGAAAAAAACATAGCAAATGCAGGGGAGCTTGGCTAAGCAAGGAAGGTTGCAATCTACTGGAGAAGAAGAAAGGAACCAATCAATTCCCCTGATGGCACGTAGAGTACGCCTTTCAGCTAGGATACGAATAATGAAAAGCACAAGGCTATTAGTTGAAGCTTCCATTACTGTTGTTCTCGCGGATTGGGGTGTCAGATATGTCAGAACCCTGCAAGCAAAATTCAATCTGGTCTCCCAATCCTCTTCTTCTTTCATTTTATTCTATAAGGAACTGGTGAATCCACGGTCATATTTGATCCAGCTCCTGCAGAAATTTTCTGCAAAGATCAAATTTTCAAAAAAGAAAGCATGCTAGAGATTGAACCATGTTCTTGGTCCTAAAAACGCTTAGAGGATTGAAGCATGCAAGTGGAAAATTTAAGCAAAAACTAGAAGAAACTGCTTTCATTGAAATACAACCCAAAATAGACGCTCAGAAACACTACTTCCATGCAGAAACAGAGTACTTATGTCCAATGAAAATGGATGAGATAACCCAATTCTCAGAAACCAACGAGATTTATCAACACAACATTATCAAAGTGGGGATTATCTATTACTAATGTACATTAACCCAATCATCATGTGATTGCAAACAAGTTGATTGATTCAAAGATAGAGAAATGCGAAGTGAAAGAAGAAGAATATTACCAAATGTTGAATTTCCAGATCACGTGGAATCTTGCAAGCCACCGCCGATGAATTCTTCCTACTGCACGAAGCAGCACCTCGAATCAACTACTCAAATCATGATGCGAAAGGGATTCAAGATCATCACCAATGCCTTTTAAGGTCAACTTGCTCAACTTGGAGAGTGGGTGGACTAGGGCTGAAGAATAAGAACGACCAACAGTTGTATCAACCCCTCCTATTCCTCCTCCTCCCCTCATCTTCATAGTTCGAGCAAGTGGTGCCAAGCTCTTCACGTATGATAACTCCATGTCACCTTCAACAGTAGGGAACTTGGGCAGCCGAGTTAGCCTTGGACAATGCCGAATGCACAAGTGGACAAGACACTGAAACTGCGGCCATTCCTTGTCCTCTTCTTCCTCTGCACTTAATCTTGTTATTGAGTTGTCCGGAGAAGAGTCACAATAATCACCATCATTATTGATGCCCTTCAACATTGGACAATTTATAATTATAAGCTTCTTTAACTTCGGCATATGATGCAATTGAGCAGGGAGGTACTCCCATCGCATGCAATCAATTAATGAGAACTCAACCAAATTCACGAGGGTAGACAACCAGCTAGGAAGCTTTATACCTTCATAAGCATTCTTTCCATCTATCGTCAATTTCTTCAGATTAGGGTGTGGCAGAGCATTGATCTTCGTAGAGCATTAATCGTCGCTGTCCTCTTCTACATACCATGGAAGAAGAAGAGGCTTGTCAGCAAAGATTCAACATGTCAAGAAGTGGGAAAATCAGCTAGCTAGCTAAATTTGTTGCAAAGATATTGCATTTTTAAGGAACCCAAACCTGAATAATCCTGGAGAGCCTCTCCGTCCAGTAGTATGTTGGGAATGTGGGAGATGTTGGGCCAATCTTCACCCTCCTCCTTCCTGCATCGCTCTGCCAACTGCGGACACCTCCGAATGTACAGCGTCTGTAGAGAGGTGAGGCAGTGCATTGCTGGAGGCAGCGATGCTAAACTTGAACAGTTCTTAATCACAAAGTCTTGCAGAGAGGTGAGGTGGCGGAGGCCATCTTCGGGAATATAATGCAGCTCATCGATTCCCCGGATAGACAACTTTGTCAAGTTAGAGAGCGGAGGAGTGAGAAGGGCCGTGCAAGACGACGAGGAAGAAGAAGAATAATAGGAGTTCGTCATTGTT